TCCGAGGAAGAAACCATACCCCTATGAGCTGCGACGATCGGGGCTGAGAATCCGCCCAAGAGGAGTCCCTATAGCCAGTGAGCTGAGGAGGGGTGGGGCCACCCAAGGTGAGGACATAGTCCTTGGTGCTTTGATGTAGCGGAGAACGCACTTGGCCGCTTGCCAGTGCTCAGGGGTGTGTTTGCCAGCGCCGACAAAGTGCACCACGACACTGATAGGGTAGGCAAGGTCGGGGTGAGTGCACATCATGGCGTACATCAGGGACCCGACCAGCTCAGCGTAAGGACAGATGGAGGAACCGTGGGTGGATGTCGACGAGAGCTGGTGGCAACTTGGAGGGGTGTGGAGACGGGTTTGGCCGTGGCCATCTCAAAGTGTTCAAGGACCTTCTCGAGGTAGAATGCCTGAGAGAGGGAGATGGTCCTGGCCGCACGATCGCGACAAATCTCCATCCCGAGGTAGTTGCGGACCTCCCCCAGGTCCTTGCAGAGGAGACGCTACTACAGCTCATCCTTGACCTGTTGTAGGTCTGCTTCGTTGTCAGCGGCAAGAAGCATGTCGTCGACGTAGACGAGGATGTAGAAGGGAGAGGGAGAGGTGCGCAGGAAGAAGCAGGAGGAAGCCTGGGAAGGGCGAAACCAAGAGCACGGAGAGTGCTTGAGAGCTTGGCATGCCATTCCGAGGAGCTTGCTTGAGGTCGTAGACCGGGCGGCGAAGCTCCCAAACGGTGTTGGTAGGGAAAAGGAGGTGCCAGCCCTCGGGACGCTCCATGAAGATGCGCTCATGCAGTTCACCTTGGAGAAATGCCGTGGTGACATCCATCGAGTGCAGGATCATGCCGCGCCGGCCGACGAAGTCCAGGAACACGCGGACAACGGGGGGAGTGGCGGTCGGCAAGTAGGTGTCAAGGAATCATGGCTGTACCGTTGCGTGAAATTTTTGGTGCATAGCAGGCCTTATAGACCGGGTCGTCGCCAGGGAGGAGCTTGACCCAAAATACCCATTTGCCCTTGACCACGTTGTGGTTGAGAGGGCGGGGTATATCGATGAAGGTGCCATTGCGAACAAAGACCTCATTCTCTTTGAGGACTGCCTTGTCCTAATGAGGGTGGTCGGGGCATGTCATAGCTTCGTGATAATCTCCCGGCTCGAAGATGATGGGCGCACCGGAGAAGACAAGTACCGGGGCGCCGGTCATGCTGAAGGCGACTGCTTGGGTGTTGGAGAAGAGGTGGAGGCGAAGAAATTCACCATGGGAGTCTTCGATGAGGAGGGGAGAGAAAGGAGGAGGAAGGGAGGGTGGTGTTGCAAGTCTGCTGCGCTGCTGAGGGGGAGGCTGCGACACTGCGACTCTGCGACTCGGCTGCACGGCTGCTTGACCGGGGCCACTGCTGCAGCGGATCCTGATGCTGCGGGTGCGGCGACCGGGCAGGCACTGGTGCAACGGCGGGAGCTGCTGCGGCGGGTGCAGATGTGGAAGCAGAGGTGCTAGAGCAGATGCCTTTGTCTGAGGGGAGGAGGGGCTAAGGGCGGACCAAAGAGGGGATCCATGGACCGAGTATGAGGGCGGTGGCGAAGGACAAGGGGAGAAGACACCTGGGGGGGTGGAGGAGGAGGTGGGGGGGTGGGGAGGAGGGGGGGGGAGGGAAGGAGGTGGAGGGGAGGAGGTGGGGAGAAGGGGAGGATGGAGCGGAAGCGGAGTGAGAGGGAGAGGGGGGAGTACTGGGTCAAGGATGTCACCTGAGGAAGATGAGGAGGGAGCAGATTCGGGAGGAGGAGGTGCTGGGGTGGGGGAATAAGAGAGAGGGGAGGAGGGGGGGGGGACAGTGTCAGAGGGGATGAAGGGGCGAGGAGGAATGGTGAGTGGGTCAGGTGAGGCAGGAGAGGTGTAGTACGGGGAGGATTCGTCAAAGATGACGTCCCGACTACGAATGAGGCGACCTGAGGGGGGATGAAGGAAGGTAGTCAGGGGAGGAGGTGTTGTGACCAAGGAATACACAGGGTAGACTCTTGGAGGCGAGCTTCCCTGCTGTGCGTGAGCGGTCGGCTGGGTGTATGAGAACATACGCCCTGGAACCCCAGACGCGCAGGGGGAGACGTCGGGTTTAGTTGACGTCCACAGCTCGGTGGGGTGGTGGAGGGGAGGAGAGGGTGGGGATACAGGTTAGTGAGGAGGACGGCGTGGAGAAGAGCATAACCCCAGAGAGAAGGCGGGCAGGAGGCGTGAACGAGAAGACACCTGGCGGTCTTTGTAACTTCTCGAACACGAGCTTCTGCCACGCCATTCTGCTGAGGGGAGTGAGGGAGGGTGTAAGTGTGGTGAATACCATGGGTGGAGAAATAGGAAGAGAGATGGTGATTGAGGAATTCACCGCCGCCATCGGAATGGAAGCGGCGAACGGGGACCGAAGTGGGTGCGCGCCTGCTCGGCCCAGGCGATGATAAGGCCGGTGCCTCGGCCTTCGTGCGAAGGAGGGAGACCGAGGTGTATCGTGAGCGGTCATCGACCAGGACGAGGAGGTAGCGGTGCCCTTGACGGGTGGGGGAGGGGTTGGGGCCCCAGAGATCCATGTGGACAAGATCCAGGAGCTCTGGGGCAAGAAGGGTGACTTTTATGAGGAAGCTGCTTGAGCTTGCTCTGGACACAGATGGTGCAAGGGGGGCGGGGGAGGGAGGGAGTGGGGGAGAGTGAGGGGAAGGCCATTGAGGAGCCCGAGGCGACGGCCTTGTGGAGGGTGGCAAAGTTGGGGTGACCTAGGTGGTGGTGGAGGAGGATGGCAGGATGTGTAAGATCACGACAATGGCACTGAGATGGGGGGGAGCAGGAGGGGCGGGAGGGAGGTGGGGGAGGTTGCGGAGGAAAGAGGGGGGGGGAGGGGAGGGATGGTGGAGGCAGTGTGACAGGCTGACGGACGGGAGTGTGAAGGGTGTACATGCGAGTGCGAGGACACATGGGAACACGGACGATGAAATGACCCGTGGATGAGTGAAACAGTCGCAGTGGGTGGCGTGGCCGGGGTAGATTGTTGTGACCCCGGCCCGTTGAAGTGCACCTTGGGAGACGAGGTTAGTGCGAAGGGAGGGGACATGGAAGCCAGTTACTGAACCTGAGGGGAAGAGGGGGCAGGGAAGAGTGGAGGTATGGCGGGAGGTGACCGAGAAAGTAGAATCGGCTCCAATGATGGTGGAGGGGTTAGGGAGGGGGGTGAGGGCACCAGCGTCACGAAGGACTGTGACACTGGCGCCGCTGTCAATGACAAACTCAATGGAAGGAGGGGTGGGGTGAGACACGGAGTACTGGAAGGAGGTTTCATTAATAGACTCGGGATACATTGGAGGAATAGCAGGAGAAGCATGGCTAACATGGTTGATGAAGCCAGGAGAGGGAAATGGGGTAAAGCCAGGAGGTCCGGTGGGGGCCTGCGCAGGAGGAGCAGGAGCAGAGAGGCCGGAGCTCCAGGCGGAGGGAGGGGAGGGTGCTGCTGAGACTGCTGGTGCTGCTGAGACTGCAGTGCTGCTGAGACTGCAGCTGCTGGAGGAGCTGCTGGGGCTGCGCTGCTGCTGGGACTGCTGCGGCTGCTGGTCTGCTGCGGTGCTGAGTCTGCTGCGGCTGCGGGGACGGAAGGAGGGGCGTGACCTGCTGGAGGATCTGTGGAGGGAGGTGCTGTGCGAGGATGTGGTGGAGAGAGGTAGAGGAGGGCTGATAGGCGGGGAGGGTACGAACATCAAAGGGAGTGGGAGGTGGAGTGATAGCGGACCAGCGAGGGGGGCCCGTGTTGCCTCGATCAAGCCACTCATCAGTGAGGGCCTTGAAACATGTGGTGGTGGCATGGGTGGTTTGGAGGCAGCGCTTACCCTTGTTGGGGCCGTTGCGGATGAGATACTGACACGGGGAGAAGCCGCCGGTGCTGTTGGAACCACTGCTACCCCCGTCCTCCACTGCGCCCCCCGCCACGTCCACCACCCGATCGTCCCGAAGTACCGCCACGGCCAGCACCACGTCCTCCTTTTGCTTGGGCAGCATGAGCCGTCGGAGGAGACTGGCGGAGAAGCTCCGCTTCAGTTTTCAGAATCCATGCGGCTACATAGGCGGAGTCGGGTGGGAAGCTGGCGTGGACCTCATTGAACGCCACGCGACGGGCCTCGTACATGGGTGTGAGGCCGTCGAGGAGGCGGCAAACGATGAGGGAGTCGGGAAGGGGAGAGCGACGATCGGCAAGGCGTTTGGCAGTGGTGAGGAGGCGGCGCGTGAAGGAGAGGGCGTTGGGGCAGGAGTCGAGGTTGATGTCGAGGAAGGTGTGGTGGAGCGCTAGGAGAGAGTTGGTGTCCTGAAGGTCATAGGTGGCAAATAGCTCTTTCCAGAACTCGGTAGCGGAGGAGGGGGTAATTTCGCGTTTGAGGGATGAAGGAAGCATGCAGACAGGATAGCGAGACAATTTGCGGTTTGGCAACGTTCCAGCAGAGTGGCGCTTAAAGGGCGCGAAGAGGGGCGTTAAGGGCGCGGAGAGGGCGCTTAAGGGGCGCGGAGGGGCGCGTTGGGCCGAGGTGGCTAGGGATCGAACGACGGAGAGGCGTGAGCCATAAGCTCTGAATCCATGTGAGAAAGTGAAGTGATGATTGTATTCAAGGTGCAAAATTGTGGCAGGGCGATTTTTCCATGGTTTTTTTTCGATGATTTTGGGAAAAAAACGCCGAATTTTTGTTAAGGGATTTTTTATTGCGAAAAAATTGTTTAAACTGCCCAAACAAAAAGGGGCATCTAGCTACGACTGCTAGTGGCAACGGCATCCGAGATAAGTCCCTAAAATGAGGTAAGACCGTCCTCCTCTTCCTCCTCTCCTCTCCTCCTCCTCCACCTCCTCCTCCCCCTACCATGCACGCACCCCCATGTAGCCCCTCCGGCTCCTCCTACTGCCCAAACTCCTACTCCCCCTACTCATACTACTAGGCTACTCCTACCATGTACCCCCATGCAGCCCCTCCTGCCCTCCCACTCTTACCTCTTTCTCCTCCTACTCCTCCTCCCATGCACCCCCGTGAAGCCCCTCCTATCTCTCCCACTCCTCCTACTCCTGTCATCTTATTCTTCCTTCTACTGCTCCTCCTCTTCCTCCTCCTCCTCCTCTTCCTCCTCCTCCTCCTCCTCCTCCTCCTCCTCCTCCTCCTCCTCCTCCTCCTCCTCCTCCTCCTCCTCCTCTCCCCCCCTCTCCCCCTCACCCTGTTCCCCACTGAAATCCCATGGCCCGCAGCTCTCCTCCTCCTCCTCCTCCTCCTCCTCCTCCTCCTCCTCCTCCTCCTCCTCCTCCTCCTCCTCTTCCTCCTCCTCCTCCTCCTCCTCCTCCTCCTCCTCCTCCTCCTCCTCCTCCTCCTCCTCGTGTCCGCCGTTGCGTGCACTCTTTGCTGCCCATTCCTCCTCTCCCACGGTAAGCTTACCATTCCCCTTATGGGAACCACTGTTTTTCTTCCCCCCCTTCCCGTTTCCTGCCTTCCTCTTGCGCTTCTTCTTCTCGCCACTGCTCCCAAAGGAGGCCTAGTCAATGGTGCATTCCCCAGCACCCTCCTCTTCCTCCACCACCTCCTCCTTCCCCACCCCTTCTCCCTCCCCCTGTTCTGAAGCAAGGGGGGGGTGAGGTGCGCTCCCTTCCTCCACCATGCCTGCCCCGAGGTGTTCGTAAAGGCGGTCTCGGGCCGCTTGCTTCCTGTCAAATGCAGCTCTGAATCGCCGGCTGAACGCCACTGCCGTGACATCGATCATGGTGGCAGATTTCAGCCGGTTACGATCCCGCTGCTCCACCCGGTTGAAAGCCGACCATGCAGGCTCTACCTCCGATGCCGTTGTTGATTGGGAGAGGATCCAGACCGCCAGATCCTGCAGCGCTCGGACTTCCCCCCCAAAGATGGTCCACCACTCCGCCTCGGAGAGCTTCCCGCTCTCCACAAGAGCGGAAGTTGCCGACCGAGCATCCTTGCCCCCAGAGCTCCCCTCCCCACTATGGAAGCGGGCGAGTTGGGCGTGGATGAGGGTGCGGCGCTGCATATCCGTCTCCCATTTGTCGATAACATTCTTCATCCCCTTCGCGATCTCGTCGTCGCCTCGAACTCCTCGGCAAACTGATTGGCTAGGTTCAGGAGCCATCCGGCGGCGTGCAAGGGGTTATGTAGCTGGGCGTCCCAACGCCGAGCTATAATCCGCCTTACCTTGGCCAAGAACGAGGCCTTGTCATTGGCCAAGAGCAAGCCCGTCCGCCGCACAAAAAATGCGGCTGCCCAATCAAGCATAAGGCACAAATGGGGCGGGTGAGTGGGGGGTATTGGGAGGGTTGGAAAATCAACCAAGAGAGTCAAGGGGACGCGAGGACAATGCTCGGTTTGGAGGGCGGAGCGGGGTGGGGAACAAACCTGCAGCCTCGGCCGCTGCGTTGGTCTTCATGGTGGCGTCGAGCATCATCCCATAAATCCGCCCCATGAGGTGAGTCCGCTTGTCCGTTGCCCGGAGGACCTCGTATACCGGGATCATCAATTTCAATACCGCTTCCACTGAGCCCCAAAATGCCTCATCGAGGAGAAGCTTGGTGATGCGCTGCCCCTCCTTGGTTTTTGCGGCGGGCACATCCAACCACTCCTCGGAGATGACCATGCTTTTCACCTGCTTCGTTACCTCCAAAAACCACTGTGCCATGATGACTTGGGTACCAAACCGAGTGGCCCCCGGTCGGACAAGCTCAAGCTCGCTATACACCTCTTGAAAGAGGTTGACCGCGGTGGCGCTCGTCTTCACAAGCATGACCACCCCTGAGCTTGTTGCAAGACCCGCTTAATCACCCCAATACTCCCGAGGTCTTCCAACATGAGATCCAAGCAGTGTGCAGCACAATTGGTGAAAAAAACTGAAGGATATGTATCCCCAAGGTCTAGGGCCGCCCTCTTATTGTTGCTCGCATTGTCCATCACCACTTGGACAACGCGAGTGTGACCCACCTTGCAAATTGCCTCCCCAATGAGTGTTGCAAGGTAGGGTCCTGTTTTCTTGTTCGTCTTTGTGTCTACCACGTCGACCACCACGGGTGCTGTGTCGTTCATGGCTATGATACAAACAAGACCGCGGCTCTTCAGGTCCGACCACCCGTCCACGGATAGGGAGCAACCGGCCGAGGCCCATGAGTCCTTGAGGGGCTACATGAGGGTCTCGGTCTCGGCCTTAAGCTTAGCGAGGAGCGGATGGGAGACCGAGTAGGCGGTCGGCAAGTTGTACTCCTTGCCGTACGCCACAACCCCCTCGACAAAGGGATGCATGGAGGGTGAGCTGTTTGAGGGGCAGAGGGGGAGCGGGGATGGCAAAAGAACTAACTATGGCGAATAAGGGGAGGAACACTTATGGCGATGCACGGTAGGGATGGAGACGGTGAAGAGGGGGAGTGGGGGTGTTGTAGAAGCATGGAATGCACTTGGTTGAAGCACACTTACGCGGAAATCCGAAAGGCCAAGTCGTTGTCGACCACGGCCGTCGCCCATAGGAGATCGAGGGCATCGCGGCCCGCCTTGTCCACCATGCCACGGATGTTGTGGTTGCGGCTGCGCTTGCCCGCCGGTCCCCCAACGGTGGCTGTTGATCCTCGGACCATGGCCGTGGTCGTCGAGCTTTGACCGTTGACCCGGAGATGCTTCGCAAATTCGGACTTGCACTTGGCAATGTTCTGGAATTTGGATGCTGGCATGCCAAAAAGATGCTCCCGGATCCGCGTCGCATTCGCCGTGATGCTCATGTGGCAATGGTTGCACTCGACGCGGACGGCCTTGCCTTGCTCGTCACATACTTTCGTCACATGCTCCCACATACTCGACGGGGTGTGGGGCATGGCTGAAGCGCCAGCAGGCGAACCTAGGATTATTTGCACAAGGCTGGAGTTGCGATGCGGATGATCGAAGTCTAGAAATCTGCACGGTGGAGAGCCTGAAAGGAGGCTGCGTGTACTTAGGAACCTAATTCTACTTGCAAAAAACTCAGATACTTACCTCTCTGTTTGTACTCTGTATTTGTATCTCGTCATGCAGGTGTTGGGTGGAAAGTTGAAGGCAAGATTGGGTGGGTAGGGGAGGGATTTCGAAATCGAAATGCGCCTCGGTAGTGTGCACCACGAAATGCGCGAAATATCTGTCAGACCCGTTGCAAAACGGACAACAGTTCCGCAACGGGCTACACGAAACCCCTGAAATGCGCGGCTCGGTTGTGTGTCGCTGTCGCGCCTCGGGAAATCATTGACCCAAAATTTGCCGACGGATGGGTGTATACCCAACCGTCGAAATGTGTTTCGAATTCGAGATTGAAACATGTACATGATGGAACAAAAAAATCGGTCGTAAAAAACGGCCGTATTTTTGCGCAAAAAAAGAACACAATACGACTATCGTTTTTTTTTTTCCAAATTAAACGGCCGTATTGTAAGGCCGTACCTTACGGTCTGAAAATTAATAAAAACGGCCATATTTTGTACCTTGATTGCATTAGGAAAGGAGTGGGTATACATAGGTGAGGAGTAGAAGGGTGGGGGAGGGTTGGTTGGGAGGTGACCACGAAAATTGGTGACCCCAATAAGTTGAGTTGGCCAACTTATTGGGGGTCCAATAATCCTAGCCAAGAATATTGGCGGGTCCAATAATCTTGGTTGGGATTATTGGGGGTTCCAATAATTGGGAGCCCAACCAATTTGGGAACCCAACAAGGTCAGGAACCCAACCCCCAACTTGGGTGTATACACCCTAGTGGGGTGCTTATAAGTACCTAAGACAATGAAACGATGTAGGCTAATAGAATGAAGGGAGAAGATTCTAACAAAGCGCAGGGCAGGGCGGAACAGGTGAAGCGCAGGGCAGGGTGGAACATGTGAAGCGCAGGGGAGGGCGGAACAGGTGAAGCGCAGGGCAGGGCGGAACAGGTGAAGCGCAGGGCAGGGAAGAACAGGTGAAGCGCAGGGCAGGGCGGAACAGGTGAAGCACAGGGCAGGGCGGAACAGGTGATCTCTAGGGGAGGTGCACTCACCGTAGATGAGGGCGAGGGCGAGCAGCGCAAGCAGCGGTCGATGCCTTGACATGATGGCGTTCAGCATGATAGCAAGGTCGCCCACTCACAGGGGCGCTTCTGCTGCTGGCGTGGCTCAATCTGCTGTTGGCGTGGCTCAAACTGCTGCTGGCATGGCTCAATCTGCTACAGGCGTGGCTCAATATGCTGCTGGCGTGGCTCAATATGCTGCTGGTGTGGCTCAATCTGCTGCTGGCGTGGCTCAATCTGCTGCTGGCATGGCTCAATATGCTGCTGGCGTGGCTCAACCTACTGTTGGCGTGGCTCAATCTATCGCTGGCATGGAAAGCTGAAGTACTCACCGCGTGCGATGGCTCCTCGGAAAGCGAATTGCTAAGCTATACGAACTCCAACTTCTTAGTAGTCCCAGCCAGTCCACCATGCTTTATACTATCGTCGACTTGTCGAGTCGTGGGACCTGACCATGTCTACGCGAGCACAGCGGTGCGTACTCTGCAGCGCGACTCATTCTGCTCTCAATGCTGTACGCCATTTTTCGCCGTTCGGCCAATAACTGTCGTTCTTCCAATAATTGTCGTGCAGCCATCGACGCTTGGAGCTGTGGGGTGTAGGATCGCAAGCGCCTCAGGCTGACGTTGGAGAAACTTAGCTGACGTAGAAAGTTTCAGCAGTTGGCAGGGGGGATTTTGCACTGAAAATGAGTTGTGTTTGAACAAGAAACAAACAAGCATTAGATTGCGCGGTTCACGTAACGCGGCTCGTGCACTGTGCAACCTCGGAATTCTGGCAACCGCGGAATTCTGGCAACCGCGGAAACGGGTTTCGGTAACCGACACCAAGTCCGAAACCGACACCGAGCTCGGTTCTCTGGAATTCAACTGAACACGCTCCGGGTCTGTGTTGGAGGGATTTCCTGCAGCTTGTTTCTCCCGGTGTTCTTGGCTGCAGTTTCCTGCAAGGCAACAGAAAGAGCATTTCCGAGCTACCGTTTCCCATACGCATCACCTAGAGCAATCTCAAGCACCCCATTTTCTTAGCCATAGATCTTCCAAATTCTTCCACCGCTTAGTCAGGCTCTTTCCTTGCTTCGTCGTTATTCCGCCACTTTTGCCGCAGCATTTAGGGTTCCCCGTTTTTCTTCTCACCGTCATTCTTTCCCTTTTCATCCGTCGTGCCATTTCAACGCCTAGATGGACGGTCCTCACACCGTCCTTAGCATCGAAGCATCCTCGTTAGGCACAGGGTTAGGTCGGTAGGGCAGTGGCGAACCACCCTAACATGGGGAAGGGGCTGGGTCACTCTGCTCGGCAAGGGCGCTCTGGCTCGCCACGCCGGCCGCTGTGCGAAGGTTTGAAGGGATGGCTTTGAAGGCTGTGCGGGCCGAGGCAATTCAAGGGCCAGTCTGTGATGTATCGACGGCCGTTAGGGCGTGTGAGTTTTTACAATTTTGTCGAAAGTTCGTACCGTCACCACTCTGTACCGCGGTTTTGATTGC